CTCCAGCCCCCAATCCCTCCCAGCATCAGGGTCTTTTCCAATGAGTCAGTTCTTTGCATCAGGTGGCCAAAGTATTGGAGTTTCAGCTTCAACATCAGTCCTTCCAATGAATATTCAGGACTGATCTCCTTTAGGATGGACTGGTTAGATCTCCTTGCAGTCCAAGGGACTCTCAAGAGTCTTCTTCAACACCACAGTTCAAAAGCATCAGTTCTTCAGCACTCAGCTTTCTTTAAAGTCCAGCTCTCACATCCATACATGACCACTGGAAAAACCATAGCCTTGACTAGACAGACTTTTGTTGGCAAAGTAATGTCTCTGCTTTTTAATATGCTGTCTAGGTTGGTCATAGTTTTTCTTCCAAGGAGCAAGTGTCTTTTAATTTCATGGTTGCGGTCACCATCTGCAGTGATTTTGGAGCCCCCAAAATAAAGTCTGTCACTGTTTCTACTGTTTCCCCATCTATTTGCCATGAAGTGATGGGACCGGATGCCATGATCTTAGTTTTCTGAACGTTGAGCTTTAAGCCAACTTTTTCACTCTCCTCTTTCACTTTCATCAAGAGGCTTTTCAGTTCTTCTTCACTTTCTGCCAGAAGGGTAGTGTCATCTGCGTATCTGAGGTTATTGATATTTCTCCCGGCAATCTTGATCCCAGTTTGTGCTTCATCCAGCCCAGTGTTTCTCATGATGTATTCTGCATATAAGTTAAATAAGCAGGGTGACAATATACAGCCTTGGCGTACTCCTTTTCCTATTTGGAACCAGTCTGTTGGTCCATGTCCATTTCTAACTGTTGCTTCCTGACCTGCATATAGGTTTCTCAAGAGACAGGTCAGGTGGTCTGGTATTCCCATCTCTTTCAAAATTTTCCACAGTTTCTTATGATCCACATAGTCAAAGGCTTTGGCATAGTCAATAAAGCAGAAATAGGTGTTTTTCTGGAATTCTCTTTTTCAGTAATCCAGCGGATGTTGGCAATTTTATCTCTAATTCCTCCGCCTTTTCTTAAACCAGCTTGAACATCTGGAAGTTCATGGTTCACGTATTGTTGAAGCCTGGCTTAGAGAATTTGGAGCATTACTTTAGTAGCATGGGAGATGAGTGCAATTGTGCAGAAGTTTGAACATTCTTTGGCATTGCCTTTCTTAGGGATTGAAATGAAAACTGACCTTTTCCAGTCCTGTGGCCACTGCTCAGTTTTCCACATTTGCTGGCATATTGAGTGCAGCACTTTCACAGCATCATCTTTGAGGATTTGAAATAGCTCAACTGGAATTCCATCACCTCCACTAGCTTTGTTCGTAGTGATGCTTCCTAAGGCCCACTTGACTTCACATTCCAGGGTGTCTGGCTCTAGGTGAGTGTGAGTGATCACACCATCGTGATTATCTGGGTCGTGAAGATCTTTTTTGTACAGTTCTTGTGTGTATTCTTGCCACCTCTTCTTAATATCTTCTGCTTCTGTTAGGTCCATGCCATTTCTGTCCTTTATTGTGCCCATCTTTGCATGAAATGTTCCTTGGTATCTCTGATTTTCTTGAAGAGATCTCTAGTCTTTCCCATTCTATTTCTTTCTTCTATTCCTTTGCACTGATCACTGAGGAAGGCTTTCTTATCCCTCCTTGCTATTCTTTGGAACTTGCATTCAGATGGGTATATCTTTCCTTTTCTCCTTTGCTTTTGGCTTCTCTTCTTTTCACAGCTATTTGTAAGGCCTCCTTAGACAGCCGTTTTGCTTTTTTGCATTTCTTTTTCTTAGGGATGGTCTTGATCCCTGTCTCCTGTATAGTGTCATGAACCTCCGTCCATAGTTCATCAGGCACTCTGTCTATCAGATCTAGTCCCTTAAATCTATATGTCACTTCCACTGGATAATCATAAGGGATTTGATTTAGGTCATACATGAATGCCCTAGTGGTTTTCCCTACTTTCTTCATTTTAAGTCTGAATTTGGCAATAAGGAGTTCATGGTCTGAGCCACAGTCAGCTCCCGGTCTTGTTTTTGCCAACTGTATAGAACTTTTTCCATCTTTGACTGCAAAGAATATAATCAATCTGATTTCAGTGTTGACCATCTGGTGATGTCAACCATCTGGTGATGTAGAGTCTTCTTTTATGTTTTTGGAAGAGGGTGTTTGCTTTGACCAATGTGTTCTCTTGGCAAAACTCTATTAGACTTTGCCCTGCTTCATTCTTCACTCCAAGGCCAAATTTGCCTGTTACTCTAGGTGTTTCTTGACTTCCTACTTTTGCATTCCAGTCCCCTAAAATGAAAGGGATATCTTTTTTGGGTATTAGTTCTAGAAGGTCTTGTAGGTCTTCATAGAACCATTCAGCTGCAGCTTCTTCAGCATTACTGGTTGGGGCATAGACTTGGATTACTGTGATATTGAGTGGTTTGCCTTGGAAATGAACAGAGATCATTCGTTTTTGAGATTGCATCTAAATACTGCATTTTGGACCCTTATGTTGACTATGATAGCTACTCCATTTCTTCTAAGGGATTCTTGCCAACAGTAAATAGCTATAATGGTTGTGTTAAATTCACCTATTCCAATCCATTTTAGTTCGCTGATTGCTGAAATGTCTACAGTTACTCTTGCCATCTCCTGTTTGACCACTTCTAATTTGCCTTAATTCATGGACCTAACATTCCAGGTTCCTGTGCAATATTGTTCTTTACAGCATCAGACCTTACTTCCATCACCAGTCACATCCACAACTGGGTATTGTTTTTGTTTTGGCTCCATCTCTTCATTCTTTCTGAGTTATTTCTCCACTGATCTCTGATAGCATATTGGGCACCTACCAATCTGGGTAGTTCATCTTTCAGTGTCCTATCTTTTTGCCTTTTCATACTTTTCATGAAGTTCTCAAGGCAAGAATACTGAAGTGGTTTGCCTTTCCCTTTTCCAGTGGACCTCACAAATGAGCTCCACTGGAGAAGGGCACATATTAATCAAGTGAATAGTGCATTTGCCTAGTTCCTTTCTACCTCCTCCCCCTGCTGGGACAGGCACAGAGATGTCTGTTGTACAGACTCATTTGAGAATCACATGAAAGTGATAGACTGACTCTTGCCTCAGAAAAATCACAAAGATACAATTTTCCAGATACCCCACATTGCCCTCCTCCTGCACCCCCATCTTGATCATCCAAACAGACCCCCTGGATGCAAAGGCAGTCTTTTCGACTGCAGGCTTGCCTGTGGTTTTTGCATTCCCACCCCAAATTATTTTAATTTGCTAGCACATCCCATAACTCCTCTGTCTGCCATCACTGCTATTATATGACCATGTATCATGGGAACAGCCTTGGGTCACTTGATGGTTATAATTAAAACTGAAAGTAATTATTAATATCTTATTTTGAGCCTTTCAAATTTAATCTGAGAGTATAGTGGCTATAGGCATGGGCTCTGGAGGCCAGCTAAATAGATTAGAATCTCAGCTCTTTTGGTATCTTATTAACCTCTCTGTGCCTCAATTTCCTCATTACAAAAGACCATGATGCTTGGAAAGATGGAAGGCAAGAGAAGAAGGGAGTGACAGAGGATGAAATGATTGGATAGCATCACTGACTCAGTGGACAAGTTTGAGCCAATTCCAGGAGGTAGTGAAGGACAGGGAAGCCTGGCCTGCTGCAGTTCATGGGGTTGGAAAGAGTCAGACATGGCTTTGCAGCTGAACAACAACATGAAGTTATTGTGAGGGTTCATTAAACTCACAAGGGAGCTTGCCAGGGACACACAGTGACTGCTGTATTGGGTTGGCCAATAAACTCATTCAGCTTTTTCCATAGCATTGCATGGAAAACCCTGATGGATGTTTTGGGCAACCCCGTATCTGCTATTATTATATTATTATTTATGCTAAATGACATCCTGAAATGGGGTAATTAATGATGGATTCCTAAGAGCAGAAGAATAGGTGAACAGAATCTCTGCATGCATTTCAGTCACTTTGGAGCCTTGCCAGTACCTACCTGAAGGCCAAGCACAGATTGCCTAGACCTGTGCTGTCTGCTATGGAAGCCGCTAGCTGCTGTGACTGCTGACTGCTTGGACTGCTGCCAGCCTGAGTTGAAATGCGCTGGTTCTTAAAGATTTAGGATGACACACACAAAAAATGCAAAACATCTCAATCATTTTTTATATTAGTTGCATGTTGAAATGATAATATTCTGAATAAATTCATTTAAATAAATATTAAAATTGTCCTTATTTTTGCTTTTTTAATGTGGCTACTAGAAAGAATTTGGGCTTCCTAGGTGACTCTAGTGGTAAAGAACTATGCAGGAGATGTAAGAGATGAGGGTTTGGTCCGTAGGTTGGGAAGATCCCCTGGAGGAGGAAATGGCAACCCACTCCAGTATTCTTGCCTGGAGAATCCCATGAACAGAGGAGCCTGGTGAGTTACAGTCCATGGAGTCACAATGACTCGACATAGCACACACACTAGAAAATGTAGAGTTATCAGTGTGGCTTGTGTTTTATTACTGTTGAACAGCAGGGCTTTTGACTCACCATTGTCAGTGAAAGAAAAGGTTGTGATTATCTGAGAACAGGTGACCTCTGTTGGAAAGCCTTGTGTACTCTTCCCATTACCCTTCAGGTCATGCTGGACCATCTGTTTTTTCACTGGTTCCATAAAGGAAGTCAGGGCATGGTCCTTGCAGGAGGGAGTGGAGGGGCCAAGGCAAGAGCAACAAACCCGGAAGGCTTCTGCCGAGTTGGAGGGGTTTGGATGAAAACACTACCATTTATAGTTATACTGGCTTTAGACTTTCCAAACTCCCTGAAGGAGATGAGGGAATGTGCTCTGTTGAGGAAGTTGAAATATGTAGGCGAAAAACTCTCCCTATTCCATCAGGAGCCAGAAAAAGCTTTGTTAATCTTTAAAAGAATAAATACTCACCAGGATGGCAGTCGCTGGGATCGAAGGCACACCCTTTCCAAATGTGATTTTCTTACGGGATGCTTGTTTCATTCTATTTCAGATTCATTCCATCACCTAAAACCTGGTGACAGTGGGCCACACAGAGTCTTACTGGTAAGTACTCTTTCATTTTTAAAACAAAGTGACCATCTGACATTATTTTTGAAATGATATTCACACTTCTAAGTTAAATGCACCCTTACTGGTACTATGATTAGATGTCTGTTTATTCATGGCTTTGTTTTTGTTTTGTTTTGGCCCTCTGAAATGATTTACAATGTTTCTGGGCCCTAAAAAAAAAAAAAAAAAACAGATCAATCCATGTTCTTTTGCTAGGAACATGGTCAGGGAAAAGATCTATGATTACATGCCAAACAGTATTAAAATAAAAACTTTTTTGTAATGAAACTATTTCCAGACCCCTGTTGATGGTCTGCTTGTTTCAAACAGTATCCAAAACAACAAAGTATTACTTCAGCCAAGGAATTCAGACAGTCCCTTGCAGTGTGTTATAATGAAAATTGGCTCATAGCTGTAACTTAATAGCTCTCTTATTGCTGTATATTTTCCTCATATCTCTCCTTAAACCTAAGTGTGATTGTCACAAGATAACAGTTCTCTAGTGATAGAAAACTTCCTTTAGACCTAGGGAAGTAATGTATTTAAGCAAAAAAAACTTCTGAGGCTTCATGTGGCAACTCTCCCTGATATGTGGTATTATTGTTATTTGCGGTGTATTTCAGTTAGTTTTTGCTGTGTAACAAACCTCCCCCAAAATTAACTGCCAGAAATATAAGCCAAAATTTTCTGACTCAAAATAGCACTCTTTTATTTTTTGTACCATAATTCTGTTGGCAATTTGAGGTGGGCCTAGGTGTGTGATTCTTTTGATTTCAGCTGGGACCATTCATGTGTCTTTGGTTAACTGCAGGTCCAGGTCAGCTAGGCTGGGGGTCACCTGGCTATTGGCTGGAGTGATGACAGTGACTGAGACACGTGTCTCAGTGTTCTGCAGGCTCCCCTGAGCTTGTGCGCCTGACGTTTGGGCAGAGTACCAGGAGAGACAACAGAAGTTTCGAGGCCGAGACTCAGAACTGCCACCACATTGCCTCTACACATTCTGTTGGCTAAAACAAGCTCTGGGGCGATCATAGATTCAAAAGGTACAGGACTAGATTCTGCCTCTTGGTGAGAAGAGCTGCAGAATCACATTGCAGGGAGGACAGAGAGGGGAAGATTTGTGGCCATTTCTGTAGTCCACCCTACAGTATTTATGGAAACATCTGTGATGGAATGAAAATCACCTAGAGGGTGAGAGAGCTCAGGACATGCTCCCATCTCATAGCTGGCTTTGTGATTTGCCATCTGGGTCAGTTCAGCAGGATCCTGGGTGGTCTTGCTGATACCAGGTCTCCACTCCCATCCTTGCATCACGATATAGAACCACCACACTAGTCATCCTCCAGTTCAACTTTCAGGATGTTACTCTTTTGCTCAGAAGCTGTCACTGCCTCCATGTCATCCAGCACACCAGTCTAGACTTCTCTCTAGTTTCCCTGCTTCCATTATCTGGCCCTGTCCTCTCCCACTATTCCTCTTTTTTCTAGCCAAACTAGCCTGTCTGCCATTTCTCCAACAGCAACCAGTTGAAATAATATTTCACTTGAGGATTGTCCAGAAGATAAAAAAAGAATGATGTATGTGCAAGTGCTTTATCAATCATAAAATGTAATTAAAATACATTAACCGACTATGAAACTGTGACCCGCTAGTGTTTTTGAAAGGGGCAGTTCCCTCCTGGAGGTAATCATGGTAGTGATTGAGGAATAGACAATGAATATCCAGTTGTAGAAAGATTAATAATTACAATAGCAATAGTCATAATTAGCATCTACTGTTTATTGAATGCAGACTGTGTGCTAGGCACTTTGCTAACTGCTTCACATAGAATTATTTGAAATTTACAAGAAGTTCATCTCACTCAGTTGCATCTGTATCATAATTGCAACCTGTTCCACTATTGGTGATTTAGTCCTTTGATTTCTTCCTCTTCATTCCTGAGAGAAATAGGTGTTAAAGCTGCTGTCTGCCATTGACAACTTATCATTGTCAAGTACAAGGTGCTATAGAAGTGTCAGCTGCTTTGATTGGTGGGAGAAGTTGGGGAAGGGAGAGCAACCAGCAGTATTAATGAAAGAGTAGGTGTGGGATGTGTAGGAATGGGTAAGAGGGTACCCAGTTGCCCAAGGAAGGATGGAGTGGGGATGGGGAGAGGTTTGCAGGAGGGCGGGAGAGTGGGGGGTTGTCTGAGACATTTGCTGACCTGACAGTTTGGCCCAGGGCTATTCCAGGTCCAAGGCCACCACCTCCTCACCCTGCTCCCTTGGAACTTCCCCATACCAGCCGTCAGAACAAGCAGCATTTGTAAAAATTGTCCTCCACTCACCATCCGACTTGTTACACATCATTTTGATTGCTGTTGATCTAGCATACGTGCCTGTCTTCTTTCAAAGATTTTTGAGGCGATGTCTAAATACACATACAATAAGATCCAGAAAAAGAAGGAAGGGAGGAAACTTGTGGGGAAGGAAAAGTAAGGTGAAGTCAAAGATAAGGTCAGGCACCCAGTTCTTAAGTGAGAAGTCTATACATGCACTAGCAGGTCCCAGGGTCTTTGCCTCTGAGCTTCTGTTAAGTCAGTGCTAGGAAGGCTTACTCAGTTAAGAGTTCTTGGTGGCTTGAGGATAAACACATGCTAGTTACTCAGAAGAAGCAAGGTTAATTGTGATTCTTTTGAAACTTGGAGTAATTTCCCCAGTGTTTATGAAGTGGGTGCCACAGAAGGTAGCAAACAACCTCCCTCTAGGAATGACTAATAAGGACCGCCCTCGGTGTAGAACTGCCGTGTTGACACCCAAGTGCAGCCCAAGAAGTTTGCTTTCAGTCTGGATGTACATTTCTCTGCTGGCCTTGCTTCATCCAAGTATAAAAGGTAGTATTTTCCACTGGAAAACAAGTGCATACATTCATCCCCACCCCTTCCCCTGTGATGCACGTCTGAGACTGTCACGCTTCTTGATGCTGAGCCTGGACAGTTGGCTGTGGACCAGACTTGGCACATGCATTGCAATCTCCTTACCAGCCCAGTTCTGAAAGAATAATAAACAACTTCCTGGGAAGTACTCAGTGAATGTTATTTCTCCCAACTCCAAACCATGCTATGCCCTGACTCAGTCTGCAGAATGGCTTTTTGATACACAGAATTTATATGGACCCTGTCCACTGTGACCTGTGCAGCCCACTGTCCTTGCTCCATGTGTCTCTCTCCTTCCGTTTTGAGCCCTGTGGCTCTATGTCATCTTAGATATCAGGGTGTTCTGTACCTTTGGGGGAACCAGGGCAGTTTAAGAAGCTTATTGGAATACAATTGGTAGACTCCAAGGATGTGTTGGATGGCAGCAAACTGTAAACTGAGCTATATATTGTCTACTTCTAATTTTCCTCTTCCCAACTGTAACTTTAATAAATTTTTGCAAGAGTAATGGGTCTTATTGGTTGGCAGCACTGGTAAGATGAACCAGCAGGAACAGAGGGTGATGTGAGAGTACTGTGTATAAGATGAAAAAATTTTGTCAGAGAGGAGCCCAGAATTCCATGAGGACTGCCCACAGATGGGAATTTCCTTTGGGGCTTTGTTTTTCTTTAGATCAGTTTTCTTAGAGTTATTTTGGTTGCAAGGAACAGAAATTCAGTGTAAACTGGTGTTGTGACTTGACGACTAAAATGTCCATGCTGGCGTGGACTTCAGGCATGGGTTCAAAAAAAATTATCAGGCTGTCATCCTTCACTCTCTTCATCTCTTGGCTCTGCTTAACTCAGTGAGTGTCATTCTCAGGCAAGATCCCCCTCAGTACCTTGCAGAGGTAGACACTAGCATTACATTTCCATCATCTTCACAGCTGTAGATCTCAGCAAATAGAGAGTGACTCTTTTGCCTTTGTTCTATTAGTATTACCGAAGAGTTCTAGCCCTATTTGGATTCCTTGCCTCAATCTCAGGAGTAGGCAGTAGACAGCAAGTAGCATCTGTTTGGCCAGGGCTTGTTCATGTGTTCCCCAAGAAAGGATGAATCCCACCAGAATCACATGAAGTAGGGTCCTTAGGAAAAAAGGAGGAATGAGGATTTTTTTGTTGTTGTTTCCAGAAGAAGAACAAAAGAGCATGCCAAGCAAATAAAATTTTTAGGTACCAGAGTGTACTGATTTAGAAATTCTTAATGTGGGATCCATTAAGCTTGAAAGGTTAAAAGTTAGATTTGGCTTCAGTTACATTGACTACCTATTCCAAGTTGGTATCATGATGGAGACTAGCAACAGTGAGCATATGGAGAGAAGGAGGGTGGATGACCCCACTGTGGGGTCAAGTAGGCAGCTTTTGACCTGAGGACCTCATGTTGCATCCTCCAGATCTAGATTATTAACCTGAAGACAATGGGCTTCAGTGGATCTGTAATCCATTGAATGAATCAATGAATGGGCTTCTATAATTATTTGCAAAGTGGTGTGTGGTACTTTATTTTTTAAAATTGGAGAAAAGGATCATGCTTCCTTCATTTTTTTTTTTTATGGGACTCCCCAGCTCCCTACTGCTTAAGAGCCAGTACTTCAGACTTGCTTGAATTATTTTAGATTTGGCTAGCTTAATCCTATGTGTTCGTTTCTTTTCTTGGCTAAACTGGTAGAGTTTAGCATCCATGATAAACACAGCTCCTTATGGAGCAGACACGGTGATGTCAGTGGCTGAGTATGTTGCATCAAATTGCACGTTGAGGTTTTTAGGAATGTATGTAAACTTATCACAGTCGTAGTTGCCACTTACCTAATACTTACTCTGGTGCTCACCCCATGCTAAGTGCTTTACATGCATTTTCTGAACTGTGCATTTATGCATGTGACTGCAATTCTGTGAACCTCGGGTGTGTAACGGTACCACCTTCTAGAACCAGCTCCTCCGGCTGTCTCTGGATTTTTCCCTCTTCCCCATGTCTTCTTGTGGGGGGTCTGCATCTCTCCATGCCGCACCCACAGATGATAGAATCCTAGAATCCTGGGATT